TTTCAATTTGTTAAGGAAAGAAAAAGCACTATGAACAAAATTAAAGATCCATTTATTTCTAAGAAAACATCAAAGTATCTAAAACACTTTGCTGTAATATTTTCAGCTCAAGTTCCAACACATCAGCAGTTCAGCATTAAGCAATGTATCTCACTAAGGGAACGAAGATACTTCAGGTGAACTTTTTGTCTCAAAAAAATAGAAATTCTACCTCTTTCTGTAATGTAAAGTGAACTGTAGCAGTCACAGAGCACAATGCTAAGAAGTGCTAAAGATTGTCCGAATGTGTCATTTGTTTCATCATACCATCAGATAAACTATGAAGATTTCGTCTGTACAAACCTCTCTGGTAGCATGTCTGGCAGCTCAAGAAACCTCCATCTCCTCAGCACATACCCTTTTTCTAAGATGAGATTGAATGCTTCCAATACACTTAATTTTTAACATCGCATGTGTCATAGCAGACGACCAGACTGAGTACCTTCATCTTTAGAAATATCAAGAGCTACAGCACAATCTATTCCCCACTGGTCCAACAAAATCCACAAGTTTTACATTCTTTGGAGCACCAGCATTTTCTTAACATCTAGTCTGGATGCTGTGCTTGAACAAATAAATTTATCTTTAGGACTAGCATTAACAGAAGACAAACTGAGTGATGTAGGAGAACTCGAGGGAAAGGGAGCTCTGGGAATGGACTGCAGGCATCAAGAGACAACAGCTTCCAGGGCCTCCTGCAAGAGCAAATTCAGCAAGGAATAACGACGAGTAACAGACAAGTCAAACCTTTTACTGTCCTTGGCATTTCAGCTTATTGCTTTCTGCAGTAGGGGGGCACACTCAGATTATCATTTGTGCGATCTTTGACCAGCATGAATGCCTCACAGGAAATTGTTAAACAAGGAAATATTTACCGTACTTCACCTATTACATATGTACTGTTGTCGAGCACTGACACAGGAGCCCAAGTCAGGCAACAAGAGTGCAGGGCCCATCAATTTACCATCTGCTTCTGCCTATGGAGACATGGAAGCAGAGGATGTCCGTCCAGTACTGACCTCAGGCCAAAGGAGAGCTGTCCTTTAAACCCAAGCCATCTACCCTCTCAGCATTTCATGCCTTACACATCAAGAATCACATGCAGTTCCAGAGACTACTAGCAAGGGTGGCTTTAAGAAGTAAATAATAAATTAAAGCAGATACATTCTCACATCCTCACATCAATAATGCATGTTCATTACACCCATAGCAAAATGCTAACAGATTGCATCTAGTAGCTTGTGAGGAAAGCAATATCATCATCCCTTAATAAAGGCTCATGCACTCACATGCAGGGTTCATACTTCATAAATCTGTATGCGGGTAAATAATTTCATTACCTGGGTGTGATAAGTAATAGAAGAATTTTGCTTTCGCTAAAAGTAATTAAACAATTACTTCTTAGGCTAAAGCTATTATTAGTAAAATGATCCAAATTTTAAGAAAAGTAAAAGACTTTACTACTGGGAAAAGAAAAGGGGGGAATTGATCTGAGGAAACACCAACCCAACAGCCCCCCCTCCTTGGGATGATCACCAAATGGTCCATATCAAAGGGTGGTAACTCCTTTGCAATGGAATGAGAAAGAACAGAATGGGCCATCTCTGGTATCCCTTGTCCTTGAGATAAGAGAGGAACTGAAACCACTGAGCCATAAAAGACAAAGGAGCTGCAAATTGGCCCAGACTTGAATGACAAGGTGTACGTGACCACAGGACTGAAGAAAGAAGAAGATAAGATTGTAGAAGGAGCCAGGAGGCGTGCTGAAGGTGTTGAAACCAGCAGCTGTGTGGATAAAAGGGGGTTTGAAACTTAATTTGGTGAGCCTGGACCTGGATGGAGCTGCGACTCCTCGGCCACCCCAGCGCTGCATTTGCTCTCTTAATAAAGATTCATTAAACCATATTTGGATGTGATTTGCCTTAATCTACCTATAACATGGGTAGCAAATGATGGATCCGGAGTGTATGTAAGAAGCTGTCCACATCCCTTATAAAAATAGCCCTATTTATTACCTGTATAGGCTCCCAGAGCACTTAAGCTGTACTTTGGATCATCATGCTTTACGTACAAGGATGAGCCACAGGGAAACTCCTAGCCCAAGAAATGGCTCCTTCCTGATCTTCCACCTTGAACAAAGCTGTATCATCGGCAAGCAAGGCTTTTCTATGCTATCTCTGCTGTTTAATGAAAAAAAAATAAACTATCTCTCTCCTGCTATCGCAATCAGCCACTTAGCAGCTTTTAGAAAGCCAGCAGGTAAACAAACTTTAAAATCATCCAGGCTGTTAAAAACTAACCAGTGATATAGAACATTTTGTAGGCTGGTGTTTCTGGATAAAAAAGGAGCCTGCCTTCATCAGACCTTGAGCATTACAGACGGCATTTTGAGTCCTAAATGCATTTGTTTATTCACTTGGATGCTTACTGTATGCTAATGGTCAGAGCTATTGCTCTTGCTCAGGGGCATGTGAGCAACACATGCATCATTGCAGTAAGTCAGCTGGTGCACAGTCTGCTCTCAACTGCCAGCTTTCCTGGGAAAACCATGCCATTGTAACAGGCAGGCAGCAGGCCACAAATGGGGGTAAAGGTTACTGGACTCCAGAAAAATTCAAACTGCTTGCAAACAGTTTAACTAGAAAACCAGTGACTAGAAGCAAACTGCACTCGTTTCTCAGGTGGGAACTGGCTGCTGATGGCTGCTCTCTTTACCAGTTCAAATTTCAAAGCCTGTGTGCTTAACAGTGTGCCTGCGTTCCTAGCAGATGTATGGCACAGTGACCCCCTTGGGAATCCCTGTTACGGTAGCGTTACAATTAACTACCTGGACAGTTCAAGCATCATCACTGTAGCTCAACCCTGGGACAGGACTTGGTGAAAAAACCCATGGACAAAATGCTTCAGCCTTTAGTACAGTACTCCCTGCTGCCCTAAAATGAGTAGTACAATAAACGGCATTACTAGCATCTGCTACAAACAGCTGCATCATAATAAAACAGCATCAAGAGCCAGTGCTCGGGATGACCAAGTCTAAAGTAGGGGAAGTAGGGGTGGGTAGACAGACTGTGGATCTGTCTGCTTTACAGAAAGCCAGGTTCTTGCCCTGCTAATTTAGAGCAGGGTTTCACATGCAACAGCTTTAGGGCACAGTAATTTTTACCCCACAGTAATAGCTGTTAGTCTCTTTCAAATTAATGCTACAGAATCCTTTAGGGTTCATCACTTTCTGTGACTAACTCCCCACAGGTTCTGCTTTCTCTGTGTTGTTCCACATCTGCTGAGTTTTCAAAGCCCAGTGATGATCTTGGCATTCTGTAAACCCTGAGGCTCAGCACAACCTAGCTGGTAAATGGATTGGGTATTTTTCCCTCTGGACTAGAAAGGAAAAAAATCTATTGGAACATATCATGTTTCCCATTGCAAAACAGATAGCTTTGGAGCCTGCTATGTATAAAGAAAGGAGGTGCCATGCTGGCTTTGGTATGCTAATGCCACCTAATCCATCAAACACTTCAGCTTTTTTCCAGTCACAGCTTCAAGAACATAACCAGGGTTAAAGCAGAAGCATCTTAATGATGAATACGCAGAAAGCTGTAAATCCTTCAGCTGAAGAACCATCCTCTGATGAACTTCAGACATAAACTTGGCAATTCTTAGCATATATCCTATGCATTATATTTCCCATTTTCTATGTACAACTGAATCACCACCTGTATCACCACAGCTAAAATGAAAACCAGCAATATTTCTCAACCAAGACATGCTTTTCAACGTTAACTTCTTAAGGAAGGGATTATCAAATCCTTGATGGCATGCATGTATTGATGAAATGTCCCTAAAACTTTAAGTGACAGACTGACCTCACTAAAGGGACCTAGTGCAAGAAGAGTTACCACATAATTAGAGTGGGTATTAGTAGAACAAAAAGCTCTGTCCTATAAACACTCAAGCAATACAACAGTCCATGAGTCAATCCAGTATGCTGGGTGCAGAAGAGACAAGTTTCTCTTTTTATGCAAGTGCAGTACATATTTTCAGGCATAAACCCATACATAAACTGCACGGGAGTTGAATTAACGAGATAAAAATTGGCCCACACTAAGCTAGTATAAGGGTTTAAAATGCACTAATTTCTCAGAGAAATCTTTGAAGTTTCTTGTGTATTCTGGACCTTCAGGAAAGGTAGATTCTTCCAGTCTCCCATTAAAAGTAAACAACGCAGCATGCTGCGGACCCTGATTGCACCTGCAGAGTATTTCATGAAGTATAGGTTTTTTCTTCATATGGCCACACAATAACTCCCTGGGCATTAATTTTCCTGTGTTGACAAGCTCTCTGAGGTCTTTATGTGTTATTTATCCCCATCTGAGACAAAGGACTGAGTGACTTTCAAGTCTGGAAAGCAGCCAAGAACTGAACCCAGACACCGTGACATGCAAACCCACCTACAGCCACAAGGCTACTCTGTTTCTCTCGTCCTCACATTCTCCCAGTATCAGCTACTGAACAAAGGATTTGGGGGAAGGTCTCAGCAGTAGGGATGAACATCACCAGAAAAACGTTGGCAAGGGTTTGGCATCATCATTCCCTGTCCTGGTAATCCCAGAAGAGAGGTGACCTCCTCTCTCAAGGGTCTCTTCGGGACACCTTAACGAAGCCTAATCACCCATTCTTTCAGGACAGTCTCCCTCAGTCAGAAGCAAGTTCTTTTCACCATGAACAAGGACAGATCCTGGCACTGCTGTTCCTAACATGCCTACTGTTTGTACACAAGGATTAGGCCATTTGGTCTGGCATCAGCAAGGCTAATCAAGTACCTCACCCATTCCAGCCAAGAGACAAGGACAAAGTCCCTGGGAAAAGCACGCCGAGATTTCGAGGGGAACAATAGAACCTACCTACCTAGTGTCAACAAGCTCTTCTTGGAAGCAGTGAAGGGAAAGCAGCCAAACACCTACCTGCTCTCACTGTATTCCTTCTTCTCTCTCACACGCAGCCACTTCCGAAGGAGGAAGCGCTTGCGCCGCGGCGAGGCACTGGGAGTGGAGCAGTTGGACCAGGGGGTGTCCTCATCACTGGAGGGGGTGATTTCAATGGATGGGAGCTGCAGGTATTCTTTGCTGGAGGAAGGAGAATCCTGATACCTGCTGGCCTCCAGGCTCTGCTCCTGCACATTCTTCATCCGCCTCATCTTGAAGCGCTTCCTGCGCAGGGTTGGGGTGGACGAACTGGACCAGGCACAGCCACCCTCCACCACCTGCTGCTCTGGGACTTGCAACGCCGGGAGCTGCAGGGTTTCTGTCATATTGGCAGCTGGCATCAGATGCCCTTTCTCTTACTGCTCCCACCCCCAGGCACACTAGCTCTGATCTCGATGTAAACCACACCAAAGAACCACAACTTGCCTTCCTCCTCCCTCTGGTACTGCCCTCCTTCCCTCTCAAGCAGGAAACCTCATGTTCTTCACGTGCTTTCAGTTAACGAACAGCAGGGTGGGGAGGGGATGTTCAGGACCCAGACATGCCACAAGGGAAGCCAGTTTCAAGTTTTTCTCCTCTACAAAACAAAGTCCCTCCCCTGCCTGGTCTCCCTCAAAGCAGTAGGTTTAGCAGCAAGAGAAGGGTTGCCAGAAACGGTTTGGCTCACTTTCGGCTTCCCCCCCACCCCCATCTCCCCTTTGCCTTCTGTCCTCTTTGCTTAATGTTGTCTCAGGAAAGAAAATCTCCTGGGGTTGTGCTAGAAAACTCAGTCGTGGTCTTCTCAAGAGACGATGCAAGTATGGAGTGGAGCGGCTTGGAGCTGTGAGGTCAAAGAGAAACAAAGAGAGGGAGGGGAGCAACAATACTAGATAAGATCAGGAGAAAGAGTAGGAGGAGCAGCATGTTCTTTTTCTGTAGCCGGTAAGACATACACAGGCAGCTGTTGCAAGTGTAACTGCACTCTTAATCCCAAGAGACAGGGTTTATATTACCAAATATGCTGCTGCTACAAATCAACCGAATGAAAAAGAGTAATAAGGGATAATAGCCTTCTGCAGAAGCCAATTGGACAGCCTTTCCCCTTGTCCCACCTTCCTGCACAGACAGCCCACCCCCGTGGAGGGAGGGAGCGAGCAAAGGAGACATTCAGTCTTCTTTCACAACTAGGTTTTGTTTGTTTGTTTGTTTTTGTTGTTTTTGTTTTGGTTTTTTGACTGCTCACAGAGGAGGCAAAGAAGGAGAGGAGTTGAGGAATAGATAAAGAGGCAGCAGCTAGCACCAGAACTAGGGAACAGGTTGTTTTTTTAGCTCAGGTTCACATGAGTGAAAGCTGATAAAAAAGAATTCTTGGAGGGCAACACTGCTTCCAAAATGACAGTGGATGATGGATGGTGTCAGGCCCAGGAACCAACAAAGACAGCACATAAAGACAATTAGACATGCAGAACAGATTTCAAGCCAGGAGCAAGACACATACTACATGGAAGATTCCCAGGCATTTAATACACTGAAGAAGCTCTACCAACGGTCAAGCACTGGGAGGAATAGCAGCCTCAGGACAAGCCTGGAAAAAATCTGGTAATGACACCAAATCAGGCAAAACAAAGTGTGACAGCTTCTCCATCAAGATCCCCTGAATTCCACAGAATGCTCCTGAATGAAGCTGTATTTTCAGGTGGAAAAGTGCCATAGAATGTAAGTTCTGCAAGGGAATGACTAGAATTCAGCTGTATGAATTTCAAGTGTGCTGTCAAAAACAATCTCTAAGTCAACCTGACAGAGCTTTAGTTTTCATTGTTCAACAGCCTGAACCTTTAAAAATATTCGTTTCAAGTTAGAAACTATTTGTCAACCCAAATCAAAATAGATTTTCTTTCATGAACTGCCTCAGTTTTCTTCAAAAATAAACTTCAAGAACTTTGAACATCAAAAACTGCTGTCTAGTACATACGTAACTAGACATGTCAGAAAGAAGATTTGTGACAGCAAGAACAAAGAGAAAGGAAACATTCCAATTTTTTTTTCTTCTAATCCTCAATTGCTATATTCTACTTTGCCATACTGTCCCTTTTGCTCTGACCATCCCATAAGTTACTGGCTTGAGCAACTCTTCAAATCCATTTCTGGAGCTCCTGTCACCTTGGTATCTATACATCAGGTGCATACACACAATCAGAATACCTTCTATAAACACCCACTCTAAAAATAATATAAAACAGTTTTTTGAAGTCCAAGGAAAAAAACAGTCTACAAATTAGAGAAATACCAGTATCACACATTTAAACACTTACATGAGCAGCTGTGCATCCTCTCTGCCTCTCTAGGGCCAGTAACTTTCCTTCCTCCTCTAATACGGAGAAACCCGAACCTGAGTACTTCAGCTGCCTGTTGCCATGATTTCTACCATGTCACCACAAAGTCAGACTCCGCCTGCACATAATTTTCTGTGTTAACAGGTAGCCAGTAATGTTAATTCCATCTTCTTCCCAGGGCATCCAGGAATCAAAGTCCCACAAAATCATTCCTAAATTTTAACCAAGAGTGAGTATGTGCAACTTTGGGGGAAGGGATTAATAGCCCTCTGGGGGCCATCATAAAGAAGCTTTACTCCATATATTAATGAGCTTGATCTCCTGGGGAATGTTTTATGAAGTACTCAAGATTCTCATGTAATTGTAGAAGTGCAAATAAGAATTGTCAAAGTCCACACTTTTGCATGCTTTCTTTAGTAGTAAACTGAACAGTAGACATTGCAAGCCCTCAAAAACCCCACAGATATTATCTACTTAGTCAACAAGAGACTCATACCACATTGCTCTGGACAATAGTTGCATTTGGTAATCACTTTCTTAGCAAGGAAAAATTAGCCCTTTCACCAATCTGCCAGTACAATTTCTTCACCCTCAGCCTCACTGAACACTAGTGGGATTCACTTCAGCAAGACAGTGATCCTTTCCCACCCTCTTCATACAATCAAAACTGAAGACAATTCTCTCTGCATGTGCCATGAGATTCCTTCAACTTTGGAGAGGGTACACTACCATGGGGGACTATCCCTTTAATTCCAAGTACCTCACTGATAAGGAAGCAACACTGAGCACATGTTTATTTTGGACAGAGGATGCTGGCCACCTGTCTGATGCTCTTAGGGAAAAAAAAAAAAAAAAAAAAGAAAATACGTAATGAGACACAGCTCAAACACCTGACCCACAAAGTGAAAAATACCAACCAGGATCAAAACACTATTTCTATACAAATCACAAAAGCACAATTTGACTGCTTCCAGGAGAGCCTGTGTATTGCTAGATCCTTGTTAATGATAACTACTGTAGTTTAAAAATCCAAGGACAGATTCATTAGCACAGCAAATGGTTGTCAATGGTTCAGGTTGATCAACAATCTCTCTGCCTTTCTCCTACTCAAACATTCTGGGCTTTCTTATGCCCTCAAAAGGGGACTTATGAATTCAGCAAAGAGGGAAGAAAAATCCTCAAAAAAAAAACAAACTTAAAATCCCTTCCTTGAATGAAGAACATGAGCTAACACGAGCCCAGATTCTTTGGCAGTCCTTTCCATAATAGCTTTCCCACGTGTTTAAGAGACAGCAAATATTATCCCTGGTAAATGAATACAGAGTAGGAGATGGCACTGTGGGAAAACAATTTATTAATTACACTTGGTTATTTTTCAATACAGGAAATACAACTTATTCAAAAGACTAAGTCACTCAGATGCACGATATCTGGCTACAGAAGCTCTGTCACATCAGGCAAGGAGATTACTGCACTTAAACTTGAAAAAAATTCAAGCCATATCTTCCCATCCAAACCCCTTTTCCTATGGTTCAACTGCATGTTTCACTTATGTCCCTTTCTGTGCTCACAGCTGTAAGCAGCAGCTTCTGCATGAAAAGCCAGCCATGCCTATAGCAAATAGAGCAACCCCTGCTAGGTCAAAACTCTGACTGTCAAATTCAAAAACTTGCACATTTCTTTTTTCTGTCAAAATTCTAGAGTTATTTTGTGATTTTAAATAAAAAACTAACATATTTATCTCTATTGACTTTTGCATTCCAACAGTCTTCTACAAGAACACTCCTGTCATCTTTGCAACTGGAACACTTGCTTACAGTAGGACTTGGGCCATCCTTGGGTCTTTGCGTATTACATTAGGATGAAGCCTGTTACAATTTGACATATGACAACTTGTGGATACATACAAGGAGCATATATCTGCTAACCATTCTTGCTCACCTTCAGTGTCCTACAGAACTTTTCCCTTTAAATCACACACTACCAACCAGCAGTTGCTATCATTTGAACATACACAGTCAATTTTAGTTTGGATATGTGATACCGGATACCTGCATGTGTTGTTCTCTGAAACCCAAGGACTAAGTTACAAGACAGATGACAAATTCCACAGGCTGCAAGGTGAGAAATACCAGCAACAAGCTGATACCTCAGTGTATTACAAAGACAGAAATGCTCCCATGGCCCATGCATCCCCCAATTCCTCCCTGCTCACTACAGTATTTATTCAAGACTTGCCACTACTTCTGTTAAACCGTGTCTCAGCACCTCCTCCACGTTCCAAAAAAACATGCTATGAAGGAACATAGCTGTGGTTTTACCCCAACAGACTCAGGACGTCCCTTCCATGCCACCTGACCAAAGAACAGAACACTTTTCATTGTCCTTTGACCAGAAATAGAAGTGCTTTTAATCAAATCTCCAATTAGTAAAAAACCATCTTCTGGATAAACTGCATTAACTGGCATCTGGCATAACAGTAACACGCCTGTCATTTCAGTTAATAATAACTGGCTTCTGAGTTAAAATACAGGTGTATACGTACTTGTGGTCACAGTGCAAAGCACAGCCTACACATGTGCTAAGTGCGTTACAGAAGGTTACCTGATCCAAAAACTGGGAGCAGTAACTCTCAACTTGTACCAGAACCACATCATCGCCATCACCTACAATGTGGGTAACAACATGGCGCAGCATGGGATTGCAGTAGGCTTAGCCTCATTTTACCCAATCTCTCCTACCAGGACCAAAGACAACTTGTGGAATATACGTTGTATTACATATCAGTTGCTAGCCATTTTAACAATACCTGATGAGGCCAGAGAGGATGCTGATTCCAACAGGGATTTCTGCTTAGAGACTAAGCTATATTTATTTGTGTCTTCCCTTCCAAAAGGAATAATTCTTATGTATGAATTCCTAACAGAGTTCCACATATAACTAGTCATTTAAATTTAGGCCTCATATGAAGTAGCAAACCCCAGATTCTTCAGATACCATCCAGAATTTGTCAAACATGATTCAAATAGCACAGCACATGACAT